CTGATAAGTGCAAAAGAGTTTAGTAAAAATTAAGCCATTCTCTCTTCAAATTCAGTCTCAGTGGCCTCAGTGAATATAATTTATTTTGTTGTTATTGGCCCAACAAAAGAAATTTGAGAGTTTAGCTTAATTGGTGGGAATTGCATGAATTATAAACAAGTGAAAGCTTACAACTCCTTAAAGCTTTTCACAAAAGCTCCAGATGATGTGTTGGACGAGGCTCGGCCTGAAAGCGGGGCATGTCAACAGCCAACGAAAATGTTAAAAAAGTTGTTAGGAATTCATCGAAACATCGTTTGTTCAAATGGAAGAGTCAAGAAAAGTCAAGACTGAAAACAGTTTTTCAAGCCCAATCAAATGACGCGGTTTTGCTTTGTCCTTTGTTCAACTAACATAACAAAGTGAAGGTACAAATTCTATAAGAGCAAACAGCTACTGACGATTGCCAATGATATTGGGATCTTTGGTCTAAAAATCATCCCGCTACTGCCATTTTGCTTAGTGTAGATAATGACTTAGATTGAATGCTGAAGATAATACCAAATATCTTCTGTCATATAAACGGTTTTCTTGTCATTGTTGGTACTCAACCCTCAGAAATCGTAGATTATCAATTTGGAGTTAGTATCGAGACAACACCAATAAAGAGTGAAGAGAAAACGCCTGCGACTAATAAATGTACTTTTGAGATTTGACATACTTCTTGACCTTGAAAAACGCAAGACAGCTGAGGTTAAGTCAGTCGAAAATCCACATGCTTCTTTTCAGGATTCAGAGTGATTTACAGCTAATACAAATATTCAGTGAATGCCAATTACATAATGGCACGATTGCACCATCATTAAAGACTATTTCTAAGTTTTTCTAGACTGGACATTTTTTCGTAGAGGACGAACCCCAAGTAGGCCAACCAAAATATTCCACTGATGACGTCACTATAGCTCTGGTCAAGTCCATAATTGACGAAGACCAACTTTTGATACCAGAAGTGATTATTAATGAATTGGGTTGTAATTCCATGGCTGTATCAAGAATATTAAGATATTCTCAGGGAGATACGAAAAAATCTGTTAGATGAGCACCATGAATTTTAAATGAGGCCCAAAAAGAGGTTCGAGTGCACTTTGCTAAAATTTTCCGAAACAGATCCAAAAACGGTCGGTCTAGCAACTTTAGTAAATTCATTACAGGTGACGAATCTTGATTCTCTTAGTACGATCCAGAAACCAAACAGCAGTCCATGGTATGAAGCCCAACAGGAGCAAACCCATCCGTAAAATCTAAATAACGAGTAATTTTATTGCGTCTTCTGGGTTTGAAAAAATACTTCCAACACCATTTTCCTCGGATTTAGTACCTTCTGATTTAAGGTTATTTGCAAAAAAAAAAACAAAAAAAATAAGTGAAAGGAAAAGTCTTTAATAACAACTAAGGGATAATAAATGCGGTTAAAGATGAACTTGATAAGCATAAAAATAATGATTTTGAAGACTGTTTTCAGAAGTGGATCTATAAATGCATTGAAATCTATGGCGATTATGTAAAGAAGATCAAAAAGGACAGAGATTATGAATAAATAAAAAAAATTAAAATTTTTTTTGGTCTGTTACTCCCCTCATAGAATATGCTCTCGGAAATGTGATATTTTCTAATCATAATTTAATAATGATTTTCAGAGCCTTGTAATGCGATTAACCTCTAATGAAGCCGATGCCCATCTGAACCCAATTAACTATGCTTATCGTCTGATGACCTTTAATTTTTATTCCATAAATTCGAATGGATGGAACAGATTGCAATCCCATGACCTCAACCAAACTGTTTTGTATTTTTAGAAACTGTAGCCTATTATTTTGTATTCTTTTTGAACATACAATTCCTCTTTATTAACTTTCAGTCATTAAACTTACTTGTATAGGCATTTTTTAGATTCCTTGGTGCTTAGGCTGATATGAGTATGGGTGAACTTTTCTTTGCTCTTAGCCTAGCGAATACATTATGCCTTAAGTTTAATTCAAAATCAATAGATTTTTTTTCTATGTGTGATTTATTGAAAATCTTTAGACTTTTTATTACAATTCAATTCAATTCAATTTCTGACAAGAATCTCTTGCTTGTATTGAGCTTTTAAGCGTATTTTTTTATGACAAACACATGCGTACGAACTTCAAAGAAATTTTCAAATATTCACACACTTAAATTAAATTATTTATTATACATTTATCTGCTGCTTACTTTGTTATTTTTGTTTTTGTGTCTACTACTTATTTCGTCTTCACAGAATTAATTTATATTAAAATCGGTACTCATGTTTAATTTATTTACGAGTATATGATTAAAAAATGAATTCGCCAAAACGATGGCATCAAGCTTACATAATCAGAAAAAAAATTTCTCAATAGATCAAACGATTTCCAATGACTAACGCTCCAAGGAATATATAAATGGATACATGAAGGAACAACAAGAGAACTTTAAAAACATTAAATCGAATTAAATGCCTCCGCAGAGCTAGTAGCTATGAGGCAAATGAAGTAGAAAATTGTTGCGTTAAAAATAATTTCCGACGTACTTTTCTTGATATGAGCGCAAGTACACATATATAAAGCATAATACGAGAAGAGAAAAGGGAAGATACGCACGAGCGTACACAACTGTGACGGCAGACGATTTGAAGTTTTCGGCAAAGCTTACAGCAGATCAACGAAGCAAGTTTCATGTAATTTTTTTTTCCAAAAAAAAGAACAAAAATTACATACCAATATGTAGGCATTGCTGCTGCCATCAGCTAACTGAAAGTCTTTACATATAATATATATCCTACATTGAGTTGATAAAAACTCAACGTAAAGTTCGTGCAAAGTTAAGACAAATGTGTTTGCGTTTTCGAACATTGTTGTTCGATTTACTTCTTCTTTTGCTTCTTCTTGTTCTCCTTATGTGCGGCATGTGAATTGAAGCATTGACGACTCAACGACTGGATAAATCAACAAACCGGAAATCGAATGTGCATTCGTCAAGCCAAGCAAAACACAACGCAACGCAAACTCGTTGTGTAAAGTTAAGTGGTAGTAGAATACGAAGGAAACAAGTGAAGGGTGAAAAGAACAGGAAAGAATGGCGGGCGGAAAGCATGTAGACAGGCAATAGAATGACAGGCAATTGTAATATGTGTGAATGCGTGGTGATGCTGTGCGGCCTGCTGGGTGTGTTGAGCGCCCGCAGCAACAATAACAGCTCAAGCCGAATGCCGCTCACTCACGCACTCACTAACTCGGCTTGTTTGTGAGTCAGTTTGCCAGCTTCATCTGCAAGACACAAGGGAAGTCTATCATTCACTCAGCCATTCAAAAAGTCAGCATAAAATTGAGAATAGTGAATTAGCATGATGGTGTAATGTTTGTGTAACGGGTTTGCTTTGTCGCTTTTGGCTATTAGCATTACTCATACGACGAGGTGGACTACTGAGAAAGTTTTACGAAAATAATTGTAGTGGAGATGGTGGAAGGTTTCTTATACCATAGCGATTGGAGTAATATCCACTCAGGTTCTTGCAGAGATTATGTAAATTATACAAACAATAGTGTGTGTAAACAGATTCTGCTAAAAAATTACAGGAAATCGAACTCTTAAAAAGCCCGATAAAGAGAATTGTCAAGTTTTATGAAACGCAAATTCAACTGATGATTGAAGCGGTTGGTAGATGGTGCCAAAAAGTAGATCAATAACTGTAACGTTGAATGAAAAAGGGTCGAGTGGGAGAGACCTGACAAAAAAGATTTGCATGTCAGTACTTACGGTTAGTAAGACTTTTTGTGAGTTGAGTGGGATTGGAAAGGAATCATCAATTATGGGCTACTTTTCTATAGCCAAACTCATAAGTTGTAGATTTACTGTCACGCCGAATACGTTTGAAAAAAATCTCCCAGCTTTATCCAAGAGCAGAACAACGTCAGGGGAAGTTTGGGAGATCCATTTATATTCATCCATCTTATGGTATGAACCTCGCACCAAGTGACAGCCATCTGTTCCTGTCTATGGCGAACAATTTGGATAGGGAGGATTTAGCCTCAAGAGAAGCCAATGATAATAAAGTGTTCTAAATGTTAGCCACAGCTATAATAATAAAAACCTCCAATTTTACTCAAAAGTAATGGATTACGTTTTGCTTGATCAAATATATTCCTGGTCAACGTCAGCTCTTATTTATTTTATTTACTGGTTTTGCCGATTTCTCTCAGTTTCACAATTTTTGTCAAATGGAAGACTAAGGGAACTGAAGACAAGCGTGATAAGCCCAAAGGACCCAAGAACTGAGGTGATAAGCGGCATATTTGAGATTTCTCTGTCGGTTGGAGAAATTGAAATTAATTGATTCAAAAAGTAGAATATCGAAGACTCAAGCCACTCTAAAAGTTTTTCTGGAATTGAACCAGAAATTATTTATTTAAATTAAATTATGTTTGTCATAACACTTGAGTAACCTTCATTGCGTGCGTCACTTCATTTATGACAAAAACAAAGGGAAATTAAACACACACAAAAATAATCAAAGCAGATGTGCACTTCACACAAATGATGATTGAATAAAAAGTAAAATGTTTATTAGCAAAAACCGTAACATATTTCATAAATTGCGCTTCAAATGAAAAAAAGGAAAACAAATTTATTACAAAAAAAAAAAAAAAAAAAAAAAAATAAAAAAAAAAAAAAAAAAAAAAAAAAAAATTGTGCCATATCATAGGCGCCGAGATGGCATAAATATATAATTGTGCCACACGTTGCCGTGTCGACACATTTGCACAAATTTCCACGTTAACGTTTTGTCTACAAACGTTTTTTTTTGGTACGGAAGAAATGAAACTATTTTGCACAAAAACTTTTCATGCTATTTTGGGCTCAGGAAAAAAAATATGAAAAAATATGAAAAAAATATGAAAAAATGTATGTAGTAAAGTGAAATGCAACAATGTCATGCCAATGTGCACACGCACACTTACCGCTATATATTGCCAGCCCTTGTTGACGCGCACCAGGAGCGCCTCTTCTTCGGTGATGTAGGCCAATGTGCCTGGTGGATTCATTGCTGATTTCTAGAAACAAAAAATGTGAAAGACAAAAATATAGAAGTAATATAATACTGTTTTTTTTTTTTATAAATACAAATATCTACATATATGAACAAAGTGTTTTGCATGTAGAACATATGTTTCCCCGTTGCGTGTTGCAACATTTGTACTGCTCGGCATGTGAGTGTGTGTGGAATATTATAAGTGAGGCGTCGAACAAATATGATGAGCACGCAAATAGGCATACAAATAAATTGTAATCATAGCCATATTTTAATTGCACACATACACATTGTTACATAGACATAAATGCGGCATTGAAGGCACCGAAATTAATGAAAATTTGTTGGTGGAAAAAACTGCTGGATTTATGTTAATAAATGTACTTTTTCCATTCCCAAATAGGCGCAGAATATTTTTATTTTTTATTAGTGAAAAATTGGAGTGTTTTTTTTTTTTTTTGGATACAATTTTTTTTCATCAGCAAGCGTGCCTTCATTATTTTTTGGCCTACATTTTTATAAAGCATATTAAAATTAAAACTGCATATGTCTGTTGATGGCTGTACTAATTGAAAAGTGCCCAATGAAATGTATATTTGGTAGAGTAGTATGAAACTTTGATTCAAGCGAAATTAGGTTACCAGCTTGTAGTTGAGAGATATAAATAAAAAAATATTTTTCATACATATAAGTATTAATATTTTTTGTTGACACAATTTCGTGTATACTTATCAGCCATATTTTGACATTAAAAAATGGTACTGGGAATATCCACGTTTGATACGGATATTAATGGAAACAAATATAGTTGCTGTGCCAGTTTCTTAATTTTTCCAAAAATAATTTGGCCTTGACTTCAAAGAAAAACTTATTGCCAAAATAAATATTGTGTCGTATGCTAATACTCGTATACTGCTGAAGATGACTAAAAGATGGAGGAAATTAAAATGACATCAGGCTTACGTCCATATACTTCATATCCTCGAAGCTCTTGACAAGGGATATCTGTTCAAGTACAAAGTGAATATTAATTTTTCCCTAATTAATTCGTTCTCCCCACAAGCATTTTAATATATAGGCCAAGCTTTCACTCCAAATTGTGAGGTGCATACATATATACAACTAACTCACAGTTGATTCTAAGCCGCCTCCGTACGGTAGATGTGTTTTTATGTGTAGCTATTTTACTTCATGTATGAAATAAATTATTATCTTCTTTAAATTATATTTTTATAGCTTTGGATGTTGATCTGGTCAGGGTTCTCGGTTAAGACCCATTGCCTGGTGGCATGCGCTGTAAGTCTCTAACCTTTCAAACTCGTTTTGACTGTGGCTAACGCACAAAAAATGACGAGTTTGAAGGAAAATAACTTAATTTCTTTACCAGGAGACTTTTACCGGGAAGTAACAATCGACGGCGAGCTCGAGCTTACAAAGTATTACAATGGTTTTCAGCCAGAGATTGCTGCTATTGAGAAAGCAGTGGATACGAAGTTTTGCGGAGTAGTTTCTGTGAAAAGTGCCTTTAGTCACATTGATCGATGTTCTCCAAAATTGTGCAAAAACGCTTGCTAGCACTCTTTGAAAGGCCGATTAATTTCTTAACTTAATTTCATTGGAATTGCTGAAAATTACCATATAAATAACCTTGAACGCAGTATAAAGCATGGAAATGCGTTTCATTTTCAACGCAGCAAGCCTTTTGACCTAACACCTTCACTTGCGGGCTATGCGAGTTAAATGCATGAGCGTTATACAATCTTCTCTCCGTCCCAAAATTAAAGTTCTAACTGGGAATCATCAGACGAGAATAGACGTAATAAGACTTGGGAATATTCAGCGAACCGCTGTCGTAGTTGTATGGGAGAATATGCCATCTAAAAATTTAATTATGAACAGTTCTTTGCTAGTGTTAATAGTGAAAATTCTCGGAACTCATGTTTAAGCAGTCTAGCCTTCAGTTAATTTTCACTCTTTGTCATATTATAGCGTGCTTTGCCTTATGGGCTCATGTCAGATCCTTTTGAGGACTAATCACTTCAACTGAACCTAATTTACATAATAAAAGGTTCTGTCATCCTGAATGACTCTCGGATAAGCCCACAGCCTAAGTTATTGATCATAGAGACATAAAATCGAGGAGCATGTTCTGAGTATGACGTATGTACCCGACAAGAACAGGATGTGGACTTGGACGGGACGCGGATGTGAGGCCGCTCTATTGAAGAACTTATCATTCGGCGCTTGAGTTACATAAAAATTGGTACATCAGTTTTCGGTCCAAATTACCATTTGAAACACGATCGCTTTATCGATCAACGTCATGTTTGGGCATTGAATGTTTGCCAAAGTATCGGTAAGGATAACTTTGTAATTTGACGGAATATGACGTGCTTTTTCCGATCTTCACAATTGTAAGTTTTTTATGGAGAATTTTTTTTTATTGAATATTTCTTTAGCGCAGAAATTACATACCAAAGTTAAAAAAAAAGTTGCATGAAATGTGCCAACCGATGTGCTAAGCTGCTCAGAAACTTCTCTTATAGACGAACAATTTCCTTAATTTGCGCGGTATTTTTATCGGTAGTTAAGGTACTTGGTAGCCCAGAGCGGGTGTTGATATATACGTTTTTTTTTTTGTTTATATTATTTTATATGCAATGAATATTAAATAAAAATGAAAATTTTTCGTACAAACATACCTTTGTCATTTCATCGATGTTCGGAAATGTCACCGCACCTGGTACGATACGCATATTCCAGGAAGATGCTGAGAAATAAGGTGTCTCCTCATCCTCATGACGCGAATGACTGGGTGGGCCGGGGGGACCTGGCGGGCCGGGTGGTCCTGTTGTGAATTATTGTTAATGCATTTGTGCGATTGCAGAGATAAGAATTACGAGAAATGAAAGAGAAAGGAAAAAAATATTACATTAATAGAGCGAAGGAAATCTTTCAAAATCTGTGTTGATTTAAATAATTAGTATACAAATATCATATAAATTATTGCATTCTACCGAGGAAGCAGTGAATTTTTACATACGAATAATTGTATACTGGTTTTATTTAAAATTAAAAAAAAAGTTCTGTGGATGATTATTGATTATGACTTAAAATAATTATAGAAATCGGAAAAATATTTACACATTTTGTTTATATATTTTATATATACACGTATGCAGTAAACTAGAAATTAAAAAAGACATTTTTTATTATTACACTTTTTTATTTTTTTTTTTGTTTTATATGTATTTCTTTATATAAAATTCTACTCATTCTACAGCTTCAAATAAGTATAAAAATCGTCACAAAAAATATTAAATGATAAAATTATAAATTAAGTAGGATATTTTTAGTTATTTTAATTTTTTGAATTTCGCAGAACTTTTTATTTTTATTATAACTTTTATTTAATTAAATTATTTTTTCCCTCGAAGAGATTTACATTCCCACATAGTTTTGTTGTCATAAATTCTTTTTTTCATTTTCATAAATTGCATTTTCTTGAATGTAGGTAGAACTTTTTCCAATAAAGACATAAATAACTCTCATCTCAAAGAATAACGTAGAGGAAGAAGAGGCGAAAGCAGACAACAAACAGTTGTTTAACCGTCAACCAGCTGTTGAAAAGAAAAATTTGTAGCAGTGATTGTTAACGTGCAGCGTTGCGGAAGTATGTAACAACAACAATAATAACAGTAATGATAATATTTTATAAAAAAGAGGGAAAAAGGATAAAAAAAAACGAAAAGAAGGAAAATAAAAAGGAAAAACAAGAGTAAGTAATATAAAAACAAGGCAAAAGACACAAGTGAAGAAAAAAAAACAAAATCATCGCAGAGAAAGTTGGCGCTGGAAGTGGGCATTAAATTAACCGCCTGACAAAAACAAAAACCAAAGAAGTTCCGTTGTGCAGACGAATGCGGCAAATGTAATTTACTCATTAATGTAATGACTTCGCGATGACTCACTGTTCTACAGCTACACTGATGATGGTGATGTTGCAGCAGTGCAACCAACAGTAAGTAGTGCGTGGCAATGTGTATGCGAGCGCGCGCGCGTGTGTGTGTGTGAAATGTTGCTGATAATGATGTTGCTAATTTTGTTGGGTATAAACAAAAGAAAAATTTAATCAAAACGTACAATCACCAATAAACTTTGTGCATTTCCTTGCGAATTTATTTTTCAATGAGCATTTTTCATTGCAAGAAGAAAATTTTTGCTCAACGCAAAAATAAATAAATAAATTTTTGTGCCTTTGGTTCTTTCTTTCTGCTTTTAAATTCGTATTGAGCTACAACCAGTGATTGCCGTTGTACACGGAATGCTGTTGCATATACACATACGCATGCTCAACTGATATTGTGTCGTTATTCTTTCGAACTGCAAATATTGAGCGTCGAATGTGCAAATAATTGAATTGGAATTTCGCTTTTAAATACTACATTTAAATGTTTGCAATATGCTTATTGTGTTATTAATGAATATTTACAAAAACTCCTTGCCTTTTAATTCACGTATACGAAATGTGTTGAGTATATTGTTATTATTTATACGTACGAAAAACAAAATTATATATGTACACACATTTGTCTACAGTACATTATATACAGTAATTCACTTATTAAACTGCTTTATGCAAATTTTGATATTTGTTTGAAAATACATATGTATAACAATAATTAAATTAAATGTGTTCGACAGAGTTCCATTGTGTTCCTTTTATTCAAAACCAATTAAATTTTAATATTGCGCGCAGAATAAATACTCGAACGCTGAGTGTACAAAACCTAGTTTATTCACATACAGAAACATTTTGTTAAATATTGTGCGACAAGAGATAGTCCTACAGGGTGGACATTTACGCACTTTAGAGTAAAAAAGCTCCTTTTAGTTTAGTTTTTTTTCAAAACAATTGAAAATAAGTTTAGTTTTCAACATAAAAAACGCTCTTGCCATTTCAGCAATACCGATAAAAATAAAACTTGTGTTTTATAAAATTTTCTTCCATACACACATGCACTTATCTTGCCTGCGTTCGTGCAAGTACAAATGTAAATTTATTCCACATCCCATCTGTCTGTATAAAAATATTTGATTGTATTTAAAATATTGAGGGAAAATATTTAAATGAATTTTAAATGGAATTAAGCGAGATTGCAGAAAGTATGACTTAAATGTACACTTATTGCTCGTAGCAGTCAACATAATTTTTCTGTGTATTATATTTCAATTAAGTGGGATGTGCATAAATATTTAAAAAATTTCTTTAGAAAATATTTGAATAAACAATCTTTTATTCAGTTCACTTCCTCTTAATTCAATTAATTTGATTTAATTTCATTTAATTTTATTTTATTTTCTAATTTTAATTTAACTTTATTTTATTTTTACTTTATTTTACTTAATTAATTTAATTCAAATTTAACTATTTTATTTTGTTTTATTATATTTATTTTTATGCTTATTTTCTAATATCTCTCGTTTTATGTTATATTTTTTATTTAATATTATTTTTTTATTTAATTTATTTTATTTCATTTTTTTAATTTTTTTGTTTAATTCTAATTAAATTAAGTTTTATATCATTTTTGTTTGTTTTATTTTTTTTAGTGTTTTTGTACTTTTTTAATTTATTTTAATATCTTATATTTTAGTTTATATTTCTTTATTTATGAATATTTTTTAATTAATTTATTTTAATTGCTTTAATATCATTTTATTATATTTTGTGTTTTTTGTTTAGTCAATTTTTATTTTATATCAATTTGTTTTATTTTGTTTTGCTTCCTTTCAATTAAATTTAGTTTTACATCATTTTATTTTATTCCATTTGGTTTAATTTAGTTTTACTTTATTTTATTATATTTATTATATTTTATTTCATTTTACTTTGTTAAATTGTATTTTATATTTTTTTGTTTTGTTTTATTTTAATGAAATTTAATTTCATAAGGCTTAATTTTTCTGTGTTTTGTTTTTTGTATTATACATGTTATTTTACTTTTTTTTTATTATTTTATTTTATTTTTTTTATTTCATTTATTTTTTATTTTATTTTAAATTATTTAATTTAATTTAATTCTATTTAATTTACTTTATTTCATTTTGTTTCATTTGTTTTCATTTTGTTTTATTTGATATTAGTTCATTTTTGTTATTGGATTTGATTTTACTTTATTAAAATTTATTCTATTTAATTTTTTTGTATTTTTATTTTATTTTTTTACATTTTAATAACTTATTATAATATCATTTTATTATATTTTAATATCTTTTTTTTAGTTAATTTTGTTTAATTTATTACCTTTTTTTAATTAATTTTATTTTATTTTTATTATTATTTATTTAATTTTTTTTTTATTATGTTTTGTTTATATTTTTGGTTAACATTTTGTTTTGTTCTTTTTCTTTTGTTTTTTTTTCTGCGTTTTTTTAATTCTTATTATTTAGCTTTAATTTCATTATTATTAGCTTTAATTTCAGTTAAAAAAAACTAAAAAAATATCTAAAAGTTATGTATGGAGAACAACAAAACAATGTTTAAAAGCTGTGCAAAAATATAAATAATTATTTTACGAATTTTGTTTATATAATATTTTACCAGATGTGCTGTCTGGACGGTCTCTCAAGTCTTGTAGTTCACGTAAAGCTTTGATTTCGTCGAGAGAGGAGCGTCCACTTGCTACATGGCATCGAGCATCCAAGCGTTGTACATTTTTAAAAAGCATTTTTTTAAGATTAAGGGGTTAAAGGAAATAGTGAGTGGTTATATATGTACATGGTAAGGTGATATATTTTTGTTTATGCAAAAAATAGTCTTGTGTGACTACGTAGATTACAAGGCAATGGATTAAACGCAGTACGTGGAGAATTACAAATTGAATAATAAATAAAACATAGCTTACAAAATTATTATATGAAGAAATGTAAACAAATTATTTATTAAAAAAGTATAAGGAAAAAATTTTTTGGAAGCCAATCTATACAAAAAATTCATGTTTGCTAAAGTTTTTCAGCCAACTTCCCGGAATAAACGAATTTTAAAAATTAAATTTATGTTATAGTGAACATGTTCACTCAAACTGTGAGCAATTGTTCTTTTAAAAATGAAAATGTAAATTGTCTAAGTGAATAATAAAGATATAAAATTATGAAAATTAATTATGCTAATGAAACCTTTATATAATAAAATAATAAAACGCGAAAAATCATAACATACCCGGTCGTCCATAATAAGACGGATCACCATAGAAACTGCGCGAATCCATGCCGGGCTCACCTTTCGGCCCGTTTATCGACAAACCGGGCATGCCTGGTTGGCCGGGTGGACCCGGTGGTCCAGGTGCTCCTGGCATCGGTATATACTGTACACCTTCGCCCGCTGCTACTGGTAGACCAGGCGGTCCGGGTAGGCCATCACGTCCATCTTGGCCACGATCACCTTTGTCGCCTTTCAACTGTGTGGAGGGAAAAGAAAATCTTATTGCAACTTAAAGTTTGCTTTTGTCTATTTAAAAGTCATTAATGATGGTTAAATAGATTTTAAGTAAATTTAAATTCATAAATATATTTTAGAAAATTTCTTTTTTGTTTTGAAAATATTTTTATTATTTTATTATTGTGTTTATTTACACCCTCTTTGCGTATATTAAGCAATAAATTGTGTGCATTTAGTGCTCAGCACGACCATAATGTCAAGTTTTATGCTAAATAAATTGAGTCTCTACAGAATTCGCCCGTCTGCGTTTCTAATAATAACTAAATATGTGTTTGTCTAGACATTGTCTGTGTATGTGTATGTGTATGTGCACCATATGGCATGCCAGGACAGCTGTTTATGCCTACATTTGTACTTCAATGTGTGTGTTTCAGTGTCTGTCCATAATGATGGCACTTTTATGAAGATTATTTTATGAAGTGACGCAATGTTGCTGTCGTTTGCACAAGGTTTATTGCTGTTGCTGCTACTATGCTACTACTATGCTACAACTAATACCACAGCAACAACAACGGCTACTACCATTACTGCTGTTAACAATGTTTTTGTTTGCTGCCACAGTGTACATTTACGAATATATCTATATATGTACATATGTTGTAAAAACTTCTGTTTGTGGTTAATGTTGGACGCTTACACATATACATGTATAACCGCATAAGCTTCTAAATGACCATCCATGAACTGTGTTGCCTTAAGCACACATATATAGCAAATCACACAGAGAGTCACACACACATACACACTCTCTGGCTTGCATATAGAATCAACATTGTTTGTTACAAACTAATTGACAATAATAATGGGCCAAGTTAGTGGCACTACTGTGACTTAAAGTGCTGTTGCTACTACTGCTGCTGCTGCTAGAAGTCTGCATATACGAGTATGTAGTGCTCATACAACTCTCGTTTAGTGTCTACATTGGACGTGTACAACATTGGCTATTATCACCAAGAATTTCATCATCATTCTCATCTCATCAACTGACAACATAAACACAACCAATTCACAATGTTGCAATTTGTGAGCGCTGCGTTGGCAGCATTAAACAACAACCAAGCAGGGAAACGGCCAGCTAGTTGGAGTCAAATCAGTCTCCAACTTCAGTCGCTCAGTCGCTTTGCCACACAACACTTATAACTGTAACTGCCAGTCCGAGTGTCACTGTTGAGTAATTTGAAACTTTGCTGCGAATTGCCTGTGAATTGCCAAGCGATTCGTTGCGGTTATTATTCTGTGATGAAGTTGTATGCTTTACAGTTAGTCGCTCGTTGGGTATGTGTGTTGCATGTCTGTGTGTCTTATTTCCGTTTTTTCTTCTTCCAATTTTGTTTTATTATTACCGTAGTCGTATGCCAAGTGTTTTTGTTTTTGCTTTCTCATGACTTTATTGTCATCTTTTGCTGTTGAGTTATTAAGTGTGTCCCATGGGCCATAAATGCAAACATTTGCACTCGAATTTTAAGACACATTCATGCTTGTACTCACGCTCATACTAACACCCTTACTTACATACACACTGATGCTTTTAATATCACTCATTGTTATAGGCCATATTTTTTGGTCTGCGGGGAAATTTTAGTTGATTTAAATGCATTTACGCGTTGCATGTTGAAATCTTCCAGTGTTTTCACAAAACAAATTGGATTTTCTTCTGTAGCTAGTCTGGTATGTTGTCTGTGTATCACAAAATCACAAATACAAACTTAAATATGAATAAACAAGTATGCATTAAGTAAGAGAAAACTGAAATTGAAATTGCCAAGAAAGTTAGTCTAATACTATTTCAGAATTTTATTTTCGGTTGCTGCTGCTAGTACATATATTTATTTCATTTTAACTAAATAAAAAAAAGTTTGTTTGGATTATTACTATTTTTAATAGCAAATATTTTGTTATTTAAAAAGATTTATTGCATTTTAATAGAAAATAATTGCTAGTAAAATATTTTCGAAAATTATTTCGTAAAAAGCTCTATTATTTATGCAGTGTATTAAATAACAATAAATATTTAATTGTATTTGTTAGCGCAGGAAAATCAAAATGTAATAAAAGTAAGAGCTTGAGACTTTTATCACTTTCTTCCATATATTTCAATTAATCCCTTAAGTAACTTTGGGCGATATAATGCAAAATTTTTTTTGCTTGTTAAAATCTTTAATTTTTCGAAGAATTTACACATTTTCTGTTAAGAATGGTCACTTGCTTTGTACTATTGATTATTTTAAATAATTTATAGTTTTTGGTTGCATATAAAATTAAGAAAAATAATAACGATTCTTGTTTAGCTTCTCTTAATAACCAAACAGTTTCTATACAATTTCTTTGAGTTGGTATGTAAAACTTTTATTTTCTTAAATTTTTAGGGAAAAGGTATTACATTTATTGAAGCCACATTGTTCATTCAAAACGTATTAAATTTTTACAAAAATTGAGTCATTACAAATTTTGCACGAAGTAAAAATTGACGGTTTCTCAAAAAAGTGTACGATATTTCGCACAAAGTTAGGCTACTCAAATGTCCGATACTATTTTACTGGCGCAGACACCACTTACGCGATTATGGCTGATTTAACAACATTGCGCCATTCGCTTCTGCTTTTTGCTGTTTAGTGTCAATTGGAAATAGCAAGCGCAGCCAGGTTCTTCTCTACCTGGTCTTTCCAACGGAGTGGAAGGTCTTCCTCTTCCTTTGTAACCACCGGCGGGTATTGCATTGAGAACTTTCAACGCTGGAGTATTCGCATCCATCCGGACCACATGACTTAGCCAGCGTAGCCGCTGCTTCTTTATTCGCTCTACTATATCAATATCGCCGTATAACGCGTACAGCTTATTGGTCCATCGTCTGCGATAACCGACGTTGCCAATGCGCAAAGGACCATAAATCTTACGCAAAACCTTTCGCTCGAAAACTTCTAACGCCGACTCATCAGATGTTGTCATCATCCATGCTTCCGCACCATATAGTAGAACGGGTATGATGAGCGACTTGTACAGTTTGGTTTTCGTTCGCCGGGAGAGGACTTTACTTTTCAATTGCCTACTCGGTCCAAAGTAGCACCTGTTGGCAAGAGTGATTTTACGCTGGATTTCAAGGCTGATGCTATTATTGATATTAATGTTGTCTCCCAGATAGACGAATTTATCTACGACATCAAAGTTGTGACTGTCAACAGTGACGTGGGAGTCGAGTCGCGAACACGAAACCTACGAACGGCTCTGACTTGACAGCAATCGCAACGTTTCGGACAATGTGACTTATTTCAATTTGATGCTGGAGAAAATAATAAGAGGCTCATAATAAGATAGACAGAGTACAATCTTTTACAAGAGTGCGTAGTTGCTGGCTTATGCCGATTACCTACATAGGCCTTGACAGCCGCGTATACAGTTCTGCTTTCTTTAGGCTTAATGAAATAAACAGTCATCACACTTACTACTTAGCTTTCATGTCGCTGTTGACAGTCATAACTTTAAGTTTGACAATATCTAATGAGTCGGCACTGGCATGTGGAAGGATGGAACGATGACCTCCACTCAGGTCAAGAGCGATCTGGTCTCACTTGATAAAAGGCTTCTAAAATCTGTATATTTTTTGGGGAAAAAACACACACAAACACATATTTCCTTAGAGAATGCAAGAGCCGTCATAAAGCTTACTCACAATAAATTTACATATTTAAATGAAAATATTTCAACCCTTACCATTTCCATGATTATCATAATAATATCCATTAAAAAAAAATCTAACAGATTAGTTTTACGGTATTTTCGTAAGTAATATATGAAATAAAGCAACGAACTGAAGAGCAAATATATTTTACAACACGTTCTTCCTTCCACACGCACACAAACGCGCACCAATAATTACAGCAATTTGGTATTTTAGTATTAGTTCAGTTTTTGACCTGCTTTTAAGCACTTAAATCAAGTTTATACTAACATCAAGTTGATGAATAATAAACTTAGAAATGCAACCTGCAGTTAAAAGCACATAAGACAAGAGTAACTAACTAAAGCGCAAGTTGAGATATCAAACAAACAAGCAACGCTATCTCTGAAATACACCGTTCGTGGGAGAACAACAGAAGCAAAAACAAAAGCAGAAAAGGTAGTGAAGAATAGCATGAAGAGTAAATGCAAAGAGAAAGTCCAAAAGTCCAAAACAACAAAAAAACAAACAATGTCATAGAACAAAAGGAAAACTAAAGATGTTAGTGGGGTGAAGTGAAATTTGGCAGGAGTTTAGCTGAATCGTTTAATATATAAAATTGCATTTCCATTGCTTCGACACACACCAACTTTATACATACATATATACCATGCAGTCGGCAAAGGCATTGTTGTCAGAAGTACAATAAAATTAACAAGATCGGCGACTTTATTATTACATTTCCCCTTCTTTGATTGCGCCCCTTCAAACGTGTCATCCCACATTCTGCTTATTCGATAGAACAAAAGCGCGCGATGAAGCAATTTTGTCGCTGACTCAGTTATTTAAATGCACAAAAGTGACACAAAGCAGCTAGAAAGCTTTGTATGTCTCGGTAAACGCGGTGGGGGGTGGGTTTAGAGTGGGAGCAGAAACATTTTGCATTTGGAACACGGCAAGTGTGCTGGCACGCGCGTAAGGTGCAGTCAGCGCACTGTAACGGTTCAGCGATGGTGCATGAAAGGGTTGAGTAGCAAAAGTGGAAAACTACTTCAGTTGCTCTAATTAATATTATGCTTACTGCCCGCCTTGCGTTGCCATCGCCCATCGTCCGTTATCTAGTGCCTTCTAGTGTCTTCACGTGGGTCGTTGTTACTAAAAGCGCAACGCGCACCGATATTCGGCGAGATAAATGCAGCGAAAAGGTTGTGCGCTCGCTTGGTAAGTGCGGAAACATTTCAGTAGGGGCACAACCAAATTGTCTGCGTTGCAAGTCTCTCCCAAAATCGCCTTTTCATTTTGGCGTTCAACACAAAAGCCTGGCTATAGCAAGCAGGTAGGCGGCACCGGTGCGATTGTGTGTGGGTTCATTTTCAGAATTAGTGCCTGTGTGTAGTATTTTCATTTTATAATTAAGATGGAGAGCGAGAGAGAGAGAGTGAGGGAGAGCAAATTGGAGGAGGAAAGTGGAGAGCGGTGTAAGTGCATTACTGTAGCTGAAAATATTTTATATCAAGAGCTTTTTTCTTTTCACAGTACCGAGAATCAGTATCCATTACTAAAAATGATAATTAAAAAATAAATATTTTTATATTTATATTTATTTTAAAATATATTTCTTTAAATTTATATACATTCCCAACAAATAGGAGGACCTAAAACTTATTTAGTTGATGGATTTTTGTGAAGAAATTTTTATTTTATGTCTGAACTACAGCCGGAGTGGTTAACATTCCCTGTCGGGGAACAAGCGCAATGAAGGATTTATTTTCTATAAGTCTGGAAGTTGGTCTAGCCAGATTCAAGCATATAACCTACCGCAAGACAGCAGGCACAATTCATCACCTGCCTAATGCTGCCACTGAACTTGATTCTATTATGATTTGGTATCCAAAATTGGCCACGCTTCTTCTTGCATACAAAACTAAAAGTAGTACACACTTTAAGCACTGAATAGAACAGTTTCACACCTGCACCGACATTAATATTAGTATAAAAAATTATTTAAGCTTAATTTTTCAAAAACAGAGAAACTATAATATAAATGAAATTAGTTATGCTTCTCGATGAATAATTAAGGATAAATTCTGTCCATGGGCTTTTTTGTTCTACGTATTTATTATTTTAGGAAACCCTTGGTAGGGCTGACCAAACCCCAGTCAAGTGGAAAAGCTTCATTACATAAAAAGTTTTTTTGTCATTTTAGTTTAAGGAAACTGAGGTAGACAGCAGTGTTCGTTTCGAATATTTCCCAATTGTCAAGGTTAAAAAAATATTACATGACAAAATGTATTGTAGAAGGTAGAGATTAATGAAAATTTCAAAAGCTTAAAAATCATGACTGCAATATTTTCATTCAAATTTAAGTTCTTTCTTTTATTTGAGAATCTGATTTTTTAATATTTGTGGCGTACATAAAACTGGGCGAAATGCGTATAATCTTGTTAGATCCTAAGTTCAACCTGCAATGTAAATTGATAAGGAAACACAGCAGAAAAATTTTACGGAAAATTATTCACCAAGGTATTCGTAGGGAAATTGTACAGAAATGGCGTGGGAGCAGAATTAAAATAGGAAAGATATGACTTAGTTTTTCCTTGAAATAAAAGAAATTAAAAAAAATTCCTTTATGTTTGAGGTGAATCCAGAAAGTGTGTTCATTTTTTAATTAGTTTCTAAAAAGACCACTGAAACTTGAAAAGTGTTAAGATATAATTGAAAACTTTATAGATTTTGCAAAATAAGAAAAGCTAACCGATGGCAAAAGGATGTTTTTTTTCAAATCTATTTTTTATGAAACAGTAAAACTTTGTACAGGCACTGGGCTGTCCATTAAAGTACTATTTTTCTTATGTGTCTCCAAGTGTTTGTGATAATCACGGCAGTCCAATCCTTTTGTTACTAGTTGAAGACTAACAGATATACTTTTTATAGTCCTTTCTCTTAAGTTTTTGTTTAGCCAAGTCGAGGCCTAAAGTAACGTTAAATTATTTTTAGTTTTATAAGTTAATTCAATTTATTGGAAAAAACATAAAAGGAAACTTTCAACGTTTTGGGGCTTCTGTTTTCTACTTTTCATTTTGATATGAGACAATCCTTAAATACCCTTCAACTTGGGTACAACACTTTTAAATATTATAATTATTTAGGAAGACTAGAAACAACTCTCTATGAAAAGTTGTTATATATAACACCGTTATATATGCATAAGTAATAAAAATATCTTTTTATTTAAGTAGTAAAATTCGCAATTATTTATGTAGAGTAATATGTGTTTAAAAAACATTAAACTCTCCTCAAATTTCCACTATTTTTAAGCCACTCTATTAAGTAGTATTAAACCACAAAAGCATATTGTATGTAAAACAGTTATAATGATGTTGTTCAACAAAACCACAAAGGAATCCTTTGAACTTTTTTAATACACCTACACTTTATGGATAATTTATTATTACTCGATAAACCACCAAACCACCTCTCATCTCAACCCAAATATTTTTTTTTTCATACATAATTTTTGCAAAAAGACCGAAATTCTTCTGCATATTGTCTGCTATCGGTATATAAATATGCATATTGTATAAATAATATATATCTATATATATATATATACATATATTTATATTTATGACTTGAAGCACAACTACTTTTGTTTCCTCTTTTTTTGGCTCAAATGCCTCTCAACGCTTTTGTCGGTCAATGAAATCCTCTTCTGTATGGTTAGGAGCGGCACCCCTGTTTTTGTGGTAATATTAATAATGAATGTTGACGGGTTTGGGCCGAAATTTAATATCCAAATATTTTTATGGTAAATTTTTGGAATAACCATTTTATTTAAGTCTGCAGATTTTCTCTGAATTGTAGCACAATTTTAATTTGTTCGAGTGTGGAAGAAGGTTTCTAAGGCTTTTACTTTCCCAACAATAAATTTTGATCTTTAGAGTCTTTACCTTCAAACGCCTATTACTCCCGTTAATCAACCATCAAAAACACTTTACTTTCCCCCGATTTAGTAAAATTTACTTTGCAACCTGCTTTAATGTGGGATCGTCTAATATCCGCAGTATTTTAGGAATGCATTATCTGTATATACATATATTTATATATGCCCGTATATTGGTATGCAGTTATATAATATATTTAAGCGAAATGGGTTTGGCTGCATTCATTGGAGTCAACATTAGCGCTAAAAATCATTTATTAAGTTTTCTTCCCTCGTTCACTTTATTGTCTCGATTTAGTTGTAGTTATGTATAAAAGTTTGCATATATATAGGTAATGGCATGGCTGTGTGGGTGCTTGCCTGGCTCTCCTACATTTTTGTGTATTTTGTAGTTAGCTTCCGTTTTCCTTTAACAGTATTTCGTTTATATTGCAAAATTTTGTTTACGGTTGAAGTTTTGCATGCAAATATAGTTAGAAGAATTTATTTTGCATATTTATGTGCGAGGGTGGGTGTGTGTGTGTGTGTGTAAGTATTTACTTTTCGCTTTTATATACACTAACCCTAATTGCATAAATTAAGTCACAAAGTAGTTGATGATTGCAGTGGCATATTTTTATTGTATTTGGGGTGTTAGCTACAATATGGTTTCTTTTCGGATAAAGTTTTTATTATATGCAACGGTGAAAGATTTCAGAAAGATTTCATTTCAATTTATACCTCGGAAGTTTGAAAGTTGTTGTAGAGAGTGTTCTGTTCACTTTGGGATTTTTTGCCTCTAGTTGAAAAAACTAATAACTTTTGAATTGTCTAAAGTGAACTTCACTTTTCTCTTGTAAATTTAGCACTAACTAATGAGTAAGAAATGGGAAAAGAAGTCTGATGAGGAAACGTGGTGGTTTCCGAAATAGCAGCTGTAACTTCTACCTTCCAAAATTCTTGTTGTAATTTTTCACTATTTCCAAAAATATATGGACTGAAACGATTCCACAAAAACCAAAAAAAAAAATATATCTTCCTTTTAATTCCTTCGATCATTACCCGTAATCATTCATTGAAATACTAAATTTTTTGGGTTTGCGCTGATACCTTCTTCATTTCTGTTCGGTTTTATTTTCGATTAGTCTTAGATATTTTGGAGCTTTGCAGTTTGAAGGACGAGAAAATTATTAAAAATTATTGCTTCCACACAATGCCGACTTTATCTCGAAGTCAATGGAACTTCCATTTGGTACAAAGGCCAGCACATCTATGAGTGTCATAGCAAGCAGCCAGTGAAACTTAACCTAACTTTTGGCCAATATTGGTTCGAAGTTTAAAAAACTTTTGTATTGCAAGCAGAAGCAAATTAGTGTTTAGATATTTAATGACTTCCATGAATTTTACGAAACAAATTTGAACAAGATAAGAATTGGCGTTGCTTTAAAACAATAACAACAATAAAGTTTTCATTTTTGTGTAAAGCTATCACTGAAGGATGCCTTGTTACACTTTATTAAAAAAAGGTGCATAAATAGAAAGCAAATATCTTATCATTCATTGTTTTAAATCTACTTACCCCCTCCCGTCCGCCAGCTTCTCCCTTTTGTCCTTTCGTTCCTGAATCACCTTTCGGGCCTTGTAGTCCAGGACGTCCCTAAGATTAAAATAAAAGCAAAGTGGAGAAATTTTTGAATTTTAGCACGATATTGAAGCTATAAAGTACAATAAGTTTTATTTCCTAACTGTTACGGTTGAGAATTGTAGAATAATTAAAAAACCTGATTTTAAAAAAGCTATTCTAAAAATGAAGATGAATGAAGAAATGATAAAATTTTCTATCTCCAAGAGAATTATCTAATATTCTAAAAAAGATATTAAAATAAATTTTTTGAAATTTCCGATAGCAATCGTCACAAATGGCCTAGTTTGTTGAAAGAGTAAACGAAGATTAAAAAACGTAAAATACAAATATATATATATAGGTATATATATAAATTAATTTATAATAAAAATGCCGGTGTGTAAACGCTAAACCGATTATCAGCCGAGCTCCTGTTTGTGGGATGCGTTTTGATGTTTCTCCAACAAATTGAAGAGCCTACAGTTTATACCACAAAATAAAAATAATAATAACAAATTCAAAGTAGCCCTACTATTCAAAAGAATTCAGCGGCATATTAATTTTGAAGAGAATATAAAAAAATGAAACCGGAAAAAGCATTACAAAACTGGGGTCAACCCGAAGCGTAGCATCAAAACGTATGAAAAAAGGTAAAATGCAAAATATGCTGCAGGTGCAAAAGGCTGCAAAGTTGCCTGGCGGCATAAGAAACAAACTCAGAAATGGAGTAGCGTCGCTTTTTGCCGAAGATTTGAGGGAAAGTGATTTGGCGGTTGCTGGTTTTAGCTGCACGATGACACCCTCGCTTTACAATTTTCGCTTAACAACACTTTTATGTGCAGCAATGTTGCATTTCCCTGAGAGTTTAGTTTAATTAGAAATATGGAATACTATTTCGGTATAAATTTTGCAAAGTCGAACAGGGCGGATGAGCAACATTTTTCTTTAATAAATGCTTTTTTGTGCTTATGAGGGTTTAAGTTAAATAAAAAAAAAATTAGAATCAATACAAATGATTAAATCAGCAAATAAACTAATGGAAAAACTTAGACTTGCAACGTAGTATTTAATTTGGAAAAATTTCTATTCTAAATTAAAACCAAAATTTTTTATATTTATTTATTCTCACTTAGAAATCAGTGTTTGCGAAATTTCAAATTTCAACTCACCGAATGCCCAATATCACCCATTGGACCTGGTTTGCCCGGCGGTCCGATCGGTCCAGCTTGGCCCGGTTTGCCGCGTCGTCCGCGCATACCCTTCTCGCCCTTCTCACCCTTGGTACCATTCATAGCCATGCCTTCGTAGCCGCCAGCGAAAAAGGCCTGCCCTGGCGGTCCTTCCGGTCCACGATCGCCTTTCGGGCCGCTCAGGCCCCGCACACCTTTTTCGCCCTTCTCACCTTTGGAGCCAGGCAGGCCGGTCAAACCGTTCGACCCAGCTGGACCAGGCTCGCCGTTCAAACCGGGTGGTCCCTCATAGCCTTGTGGGCCGCGCATACCCGGTGCACCGGGTGGACCGGCTGGACATTGGCATTGCCCCAAGCCCGCCGCTGCTGATGTGCCATTCAACGAATTATCAGTATAAATAACTTCACCAGGTGGACCGGGTGGCCCGATGGGTCCCAACTCGCCGGGAAGACCACGATCTCCTTTAAGGCCTGGCGCACAAGGTGCACCTGCCATGCCCGGTACGCCCGGTTGACCGGGTTCACCTTTTAAGCCCGTCGAGCCATGTATGCCTGGATGTCCCTGGTGGGAAGAGATGGGAAAAAAGTATATATTTTAATTAATTAAATTTTTTAATAATCAATATTATGCATTGCTGTAAAATTAATTTATGTTGATATTTCTATTTTCATACTCATTCAAACTCATATTTAAATTTCCATGCTTGTTATCAGAATAAATAAAACAACAGATATGTCCGTTCAACCATTCGCAAGCGTGTCTGCGTAAATGTGAGCAGCGCTGCTGACACTTACACATGTTAACACGCCTAATACTAATGCAAATCGACGCTCATGAAATATATTATTGCCCGCATTTAACCTCATACACATACACAAACACACACACGCACACACATGTTGGAATATTCATATTCATCACAGGCCACTCACTTGACCCCACTCACCAAGTTTGCATCCAATAGCCACATTTGCACCCTCACAGCCTGTCGCTGCCCTCTCATGTGCGTAAATTGTGCCGTAACCTAATTTTCAAATTCAATTTTCCACTTGCTTTAATCAAATCATCGCAAACACGCCGCTTCGGCCGGAATATAACACAAATAAATTTATGCTCAAATTGCAAAGGGAACGCAGTTCAGAGCAGTGCCGATGAGGCGAGCTGGCATGCACACCAGTCAAAAAGCCACACACATTGTGAGCGCCAGTAAAAATATTCATCAAGAAGACATACGTATGTACATAAAAAAAAAAATACCGTGTTTATATGTATGAAAATAAAGCTTACAACCATATGAATATGTAGCTATATATCTGCAGGGAGTGTGTGAGAGTGCATGATGGAGGCAAATCATCATCCTCGCGTCATGATTCAAAATGAGTTACCATAAATCCACACACGCTGCTGGCATCTCATTTATATGCACATATATATGCGAAATTTTATATACATTCGAGTGTGTGTGTAGATGTGTGGCGAGCAGTCAACTCGTCAGCTATGCATCACTCCATCACTCCATATAACCATACGCCAATCCATCCGCGCCACGAACTATGCCATGATTCTTTGACCAACGTACAAGCTTGTTTAGCTGGTTTTACACCCCTTGCAGTGTTGAGGCTCGTATCTAGCCAGCGTACATACATACTCGTACATATATATATATATATATATAAATATTTATATGTATAGTAAGTATTAGCATCGCTTTTTAACGCACTTTCTCCTCTGTATCTGCATAGAAACATATGCAATGCTAGCGGCGCTCCATCGACCTACCGACATTGACATGGTTCGTTGTTCGCCGCTTGCTCGCCTGCGTTTGTATGATTTTGAAGGTTTCACATCAGCGCCTAATGAATTATTAATAAACCACATAACGAAACGCGGTAAAGCGGCTGCTATGCTGGTTGTTCCGGCTGGTTGTTGTTCTTGGTTGTTGATGATGACGATGAGTCTGATATTGCACCTTCGGTTCTACGCTCATCAAAACGGTTGAAATTATGTGGCAGGGGCATTGCAAGTGTATCAGTACTAAGTTAAGATACTTATGAACATCAACCAGCCTTTATTCCAAACAACAAATATCGTTCAGATCAATATTTACTTTTCACAAAATTTTATTTGTAAATCTTTTCATTTTCACTTCAGTTTGTGGAATTGTACCTAACACGTTTCTTTGCCCTTCCGTTGGTTAGGAGCTAAATTACACAACGTGTTTAGCTTAGATTTACATTTTAAAGCGCTATTATGAATATATTAATATTTATTCATTTATGTTTTGTTGTTAATACAGCCAAAGAAAAAATATGCACTCTTTTAGATAAGAATAACAAAAACTGTTGAGCTGAGTATTACCTCTCTCTTACCGTTGCTTACAACCGCAAAACAAGAGATAGGGAAAAGATAAAGACGGTTGAGGGGGAGCGGTGCAGAGAAAACACAAAAGAAAGGAGGTGAAGAACTTGATGAGGATACAAACGACGGAAAGTTTTCTTGAAGAATCGAAATAAAGAATATGGCGGATTCTCCAAACTGCCAAATAAGATTGCAATTGATGAAGTTCGTGTAAAGATTGAGGCCTTGTAGAATAACAAAAGAGCTAGCTGGGCTATAAAAATATGGTGAGGAAGAACTGACTATGTTAGGAACCTGGGTATTCTTTGAATTTTTCCCACTCCACAAAAAAAAGGGGCTAGCATACACCTGTAAGACAAAGAATTAGATTCTGCCAATCATGCTTCTGTCGAGTCAATTCTATATTACTGGTCTCGCCCTAGTGAATCACAATCACAATTGGCCTAAGCTGAACTCTACTGGGCAATTTGTACCCTCTAATAATCTAAGTTCTGACAGCACAGGTCAAAGTTTAGCAAATGGCCGTAGGGGATCAGCTCAATGTGCATGATTCCTTTCCAATCCCATCAAACACTTACAAAAAATCTTTCTGGCCATCATCTGGCTTGGATACCTTTTGTACCGGCTTACAACCATTCTTGTTTTGACATTGATGTAAGCGATTCAGTGTTCATCACTTCCCCATGCGCATCAATGTGGGAATTCGGTTCATAAATGAGCTTTTTTGTGTCCAACCTTTTTAAACTGTTTTTTGTTATTTATTATTTAATTTAGGCTGCTTTATTAGCTTCATAAAATAAAATTTGTCATTTAAGGTGAATATCAATAACAGTTTCTAGACTCGAAATATTTTTTTAAATTATTTCGTTATTCCTCTTTTTATTTTGTGTCTATAATAACAGAAGAGAATTTATTCACCTTTACCTATTTACTTTTACTTCCTTTTAAATGAAAACTTAATCCCATTAAAATCTTTATTTGCAGTTTGCCAGTGACACCAATAATTGCTCACCACTCATGAGATTGGCTATTTGCAAATGGCAGTGAGCGTTTAGCTGTGCCAAAACACACATCTTCTCTTAACTGCTGAAATATATCAGAAAATAAATCGAAATGAAGCGAAGATATATATTTATTATTCCAAAAATAATAACCAAAGACAAACATATATATGGTCACCAACAATCACTGCACTTTACGCTGTCAATCATCTTGGTGGTTGCCATTGTTTAGCTCTTAGCTTTGCTATTAAAAACGATTTATGGTTTATTATTGGTTGCGTTGCTGTTGTTGTTATCTATTTTACGCTTGCTTCTTTTTTATTGAGCTTACCCTTTTTTACGCTAACATCAACCGTTTATTATGATTTGTTTGGATCTAAGCGGGTATTTATTTCTATTTAAGCACTTGTGTTGCGAATGAACAAAAAAAGAAAAAAAAAACAAATGCGGGGAGAATACGAAAAAAACAAAAGCAGTTAAGAGTTTTTATAGCTCTTTGGGGTCACGCCACGCTACGAGCACTAGATTCTGCTTCACTTGCATTACAGTCGTTCATCAGCAACGTTCGCCACTTGCCTGACACTCATAAAGTTTTTGTTTGCTTTTGTGTTTGGCATTTGCAATGCAATTCAAACTGAATTCGTTCACCAGCTCCCTCCTTTGATTTATTTTTATCTTATTTTTTCAATGCCGGCAGTGGACATACAATAATTGTTTTTGTTTTGTTTCATATATACTTTTCCGATACTTAGAACTCCATTATTACTACATACAAACTGTCCCCTCAGAACTTTCTCCTTTTTGTGTTTAGTTAACATATTTTTTCTTTCAATATTATTTTTTATTTTTCCATTATGTTTCCGTTCAATTTTTTGCACTTAGCCATGGCTTAAATCTGTGTGAATCTATGGTACGCTTTTGTGTAAATTGCAATTTAGTAGCGTTTCTTATGAGTTTACGAGCACCAAATAATGGTAGCAAATCTCCCTATTTACTAGTAGTGCCATTACTACGATGAGGTATTTACGATTTAAAGAAAATGGGGTTTGCACTATTCGTGTATGTGCATATAAAATGCTTTGCCTTGAATGACTGACGGATGAACCGCAGTCGAAGCCACTCATCATAGAGACCTCAATATAGGAGGGTGTGCGGTTCGTATGATAATAAGAAATTAAGTAGACATAGAACTTTACTCCTGATTGCGCTAGAAAGGTGATATATTATACTAAAATCCATCTGTGAACGGTGATGCATCTATGGCTGCCACATGAGATAAAGAGAGGAAACTGCATGGATCAAATTTGGTTATGAATATTGGACGTGATCGAAGAGCAGTGAGTCGGCACAAACGGTCTCTAAGCCAGAACGAGTTTTGTTGTGTGATTGGTGGAATTGACAAGAAATCATTCACGAGCTGTTTCTTAAAATCAGAACTCTTAATATTCACATGTACTGTAAGTTCTTGCTTTGGCTAACTACATATGTCGATACTGACTCACTAGGAGATTTGAGAGCTTGGTTGGGATGTTCTTATGCATCCACCATATAGTTCAGACCTCACACTTAGTGATCTGTTTCACTAACTTTTCTCTTACTTATAGGAACAAGGGCTTCTATTAGAGAATATTCATCATAATAGTTTTATTAGGACATATACTTTGTAAGTTTCTAAGGTTTACACATTATAATTTAGATGTTACAACAAAGCATATAATTTAAAAAAATTCTAATATAAGTTTATTAGACATTTTTTAAACCCCTTGTAGGCGAAGTTGCATTGAAATCTGGTTATGCATTTGTATATAATTTTTGATCATTTATTGGGAAATAAAAAAAAACCAATAAATTATTTATAAAATAATAAAAAAATCGAATGTTAAAAAAAAATATTTAATGAACATCAAAGAAATTAAATTAATAATAATTCGCGAATTTTGAAAGAAATCAAAGTAACTTTGTTCAAGTTGAATTAAATAATTTAAAATTTATTTTAGTATTGAAAAAGAATAAGTTTAGCAAAATGAAAAATTAAAACCAGTCCTATAACTTTATATTATCCGGTTTTGATTTCCACAACAATCATTTGCACTTCAAAAATATTTACACGAAATCTTCAAAAATGGCTCTAGTTTGTTGCTAAAATATTGAAGATTTGTCAAGCATTGGCTGATATTCCATATTTCACACTGAAATTTTTTT